AGCTAGTGTAGAACCTTCAGGCGGACTATTTAAATTAGATACTCTAAAGTTGTACATGTGGCTAGTTGTACTCTCACAATATGTATTATTTACTCACTATTAATACCAATAAAAAATTCAGCTGATGGCATTTGTATAAAGTAAAAAAAAAAAAAAAAAAAAAAAAAAACATTTAGTCTGCATTACAAGTTCGAATGTTATGCCCATACTCCCTGCATTTAGTACATTTGTTCTTTTTTCTTTCTTGAATATTACTTCCTTCCAAAACTACCTTATTGAAGCCAAACATATTGTGATGTGTGCCTATAATATCTTCTAATGCATTCTTAAGTTGATTAGATAGTCGACCATGACGTTTAGTCATGAACAGATTTGCTACAACTAGTTGAGACTCAGAAATAGATCGAGTAGATTCAGAATCATTGTTTTCTTCATTAGTAAATTGTAATTCACGTATCTTGGATGAAATAAATACTTCTATCATATCAAAAAATTCCTCATCACAGTTAAGTCTTATCATCAGATTTAGTGCCTTCTTTGATAGTCCATATCCTTTAGACCAACGTGTTTTTTCACTAACAGATTTCTGTAAAGTAGGAGTAAGTATATTATCTACACAAAAACATAACAAGTGTCGAAAATTAACTACATGTAAAGTGCTTTTTAATGCTGAAGGTTGGTTAGGTTTATATAGTCTAATTGATGAGAGCAAAGCAATATCCTTATCTTCTTTATTAAACTTACTATTTTTGTACTATCACCTTGATATTAAGGAAATATAAAATCCAACCAGATAGAATTTCATTAAAACTTTTATGAAATGTCAGCAAATGATTTCTTTGCTAACTAAGGTAAGACAGATACACAAATGTGAACCGTTTGTAAGTATTACAACATGATTATTAAAATAGTCAGGAAATAATTTTATTTTATTTTTTTTTTTTTTTTACTTTATACAAATGCCATCGGCTTAACTTTATTAATTTCGTAAGTTTTGGAAGTGATATATATTATGAGAGTACAACTAGCCACACATACAATTTTAGGTTATCTATTTTAAGTAGTCTGCTCGAAGGTTCTATACTAGTTGCCATATCTAAAATCTCTTAGAAGATTCCCTATTTAAACTTTCTAGCCCTATCTCACTTATCGCAAATACTACTCTTATAATTAAACCTATAACCCCATGCTACTCTACTTTGGGAGGCACTCGAGCTAACATTAGTTGCAAACTTTACTGTTATAGGCCTAGGTCTTACTTGAATAAGTTCCACTACAATGCCCTCTAACAGATAAGTGTCACGATACCCAACTATGCTACGCTATATCCCAATATAGCTTGCATATACCCTTATTCGATGTTCGTACGAACCCAATTTCTTTCGTGACTGTTCACTAGATCAGACTTCTTTGTATTTCCGAATGTTTCACGAAGCAGATCCTCCCAATCTAGTTACCTGCTAAGCCAAGTTGGTGTTGCCATAACACCCAATGTCACGGACTTACTTGCACCTACTCGATCTGCATCTTTGTACTCAGAGATCTTCACTGAATCAGACGTTAGCTAGTATGACTGTTGAAATCTGTACTACTTTATCTAACTTGAGATTTCTGCCATGCAGATCCTCTGCCTATAGATCCTATCTCGATTTATTTATGTAATGCAACTCCAATATTCTGTCACACTTCTAATGTCCGAACAACATTAGTGCAATGTGATTTACAGAGTTACAACCCCAGAAACGAACAGAGTTTACTGTAAGTTAGATATAGATGTCTAGGTAATTATTTAATTCTGTCAACAGTGGAATTTGAACCCTAGACCTCTTGCATGGTAGTCTGACAATCTAACCACTTCACTAGATCACCAGACCCAACCTCTAATAATTTACTAAGCTATATTTGAATATTATTTGAATACGTATGTGATTATTTATTGCTATGTTTATGACTAGCTGTATTGTAGTAAGTATGTGGTTTATTTCTCAATAATCTAAATATGTTTTGTGAACAAAAGCATCTCAACTGGAGGTATGTATAATCAGTCAAATATTATTTTTCTATATCTACATATCGATATAATTATAGTTAACTAATCGCTAGTATTTACTATAATTTTTAGAGCTGCAGGAATTTTAGTGATCTAATTTAGAATTCTAATCTATTAAGTATTTATCTATTTATTCGAAATCTAATAGATAATTAGATAAAATAGATTAAAAGATAGATAACCGAATCATTCAGTAAATTATTCGAATAATGTAATGAGTGCAAATTTTAATGAGTATGAAGAAGTTATCATTATTTTAATAGGGGATTACTATGGACACAGCAGCATATAATATAATTCTCCTAATTCTGTCATATTTTAATCCTAACCTTAACTATAACACAGGTCATACTATGTCTTTAAGGTTAGTGCTGGTCATTTTCTGTTTTGATAAAACTATGTCTGTAGCAATCCTCTTTTAATAATAGTCATAGATATTATTAATCATATGAGTGTATGAGAGTGAAAACCTGAAAACCGATTTAATGATTTATGCACTTATATGATAACAGTAGTAGATATTATAATAACAGTTATGAATATTATACATAATAGTAGTCATAATATTATGAATAGTCACAGACATTTATGAAAATCAAAATTAAAGTAGTATTAGAGTTCGAAACTGCAGTTAGAATTAGAGATTGAATTAGTAGTTAGGTTATATTTAAAAGTTTAGATATATGTATTGTATTTGTGCTGTCTGATTACTATAGTAGGCTAGGTATAATTAACCTATATGATATAGTAATACAGTATTGTTTATATATATATGTATCGGTATTGTAATTATATAATTCATGTAACTATATATATAATCTGTTTAGTTCAGAACTCTATACATATTTATTTTATTTATATACTATATTACATAGTATTATAGGTGATAATCATCTGTGGTGTAAATAAGAAATTTCCTTTTTATTATATATTGATAATAATTTTTAATAATTATATATATTAGGGAGGCTATATATCAATATAAATCTGAAGATTACTATTAATATATAGCCTCTAAAAAAATTTTTTAATAAATAAGAAGTGATATCTATAACTTTTATATCTAAAGAAATAGTTATCTCTTTAATTTTTATAGAAAGATTTTTAATTATTCCTAAGAGTCTAAGAAAAGATCCTATAGTTAATATAATCAAACTAGAAGAGCAAGTATCTATCTTGAGTTCTAATTCTTTAATAATCTAATATGAGATCATACTAATTGAGGTATTACTATTAATTCTAGTCTAATAGAGTTTACTCTTAATTTTAATATTGTATTTTATAGGTATAATATAAGTTGAGATCTAAGTAGAATTATTATAAGAGAGTATAGTAAAGTAGGTTTTAATAGCTATTTGTATTGACTTATTAAAGAAATAGATTTGAATTACTTGAAATTATAATTATTAATAAGGTCTATAGTATAAGTTTTTAAGAAATAGAGAATTGAAAATTGCTTCTAGATCTGTATCTGTTATTGTTACTTCAGTCTTGACTTCTATATCTATCTCTTAAGTAACTTTTTTTTTAGCTTCTAGATCTGTTATTATATCTAGAATTATTATAGGATCTGTTGTTATTATATAATCTATTTCTGTTTTAAAATCAAGAATAATTATAAGAATAATTATTATTGTTTCTTCTATTATTTGATTGATAGTTGTAATTAAAATAGTAACTAAATTAAGAATTAAAGTAAGAATTATATCAATAGACTTCTTTTTATTTGTGATAATTTTTAATAAATACTCTTTACTTCTACAATAAAAGCAAATTGTATCTAGTTAATTATTGTTATCAAATCTATTTCTGTTTGAATTACTATTAGAATAGTAAATAGGTTTAAAAATAAAAGTAGTCTGTTTCTTAGCAAGGTTAATACTTAGTTTAGCTATCTGTTATTTAATAGCTTAATTAGTATTAATACTAGTATTAGAGACTATCTCTTAGATTGTAAACTAATACAAACTAATTTGTTTATATTTTTATATTAATTCAGCTCTGATTTACTTTTTAAAATACAAATATATTAAAAAAATAATTATAGATAATAAAATTTAAAAATAAAAATTATCTTTTTGTAGTATTTGTTTTTATATTATAAGAAAAAATTTAGAGTTATATATGAGCTAAAAATAGCTAATTTTATAAAAAAAATTTTTGCAAAAATTTTATCAGTATT